TTTTCTATTTGACATTGCTTAGCAGTGGAGCCCACTGAGAGTCATAAATGTGTGTGGTCCGTCTCATCATCTTGGCTGAGACCTCTTCAAAGCTTTGTGTTTTGTGTCACACAGGTCAAAACCAGTAAGGTCAAAGGTCCTTGTGATATCCATCAGTCCTCACCACATCTTGCTGTTCTTCAAAGAGCTAAATACGGGTACTTGCAGTTTATACTTAACAAAGATAGTTTAAAAAGACCTTTAAAAATGGGTTGTTTACAAAAAGAGCCACTAAGTAAGTGTATATGTGACTTATTCCATCTGATGGGAATGTGATCTGTCCCTTCTTAGTGCTCCATGTAACCCTGCTTTTCCATAATGTAAACAGCAGTTCACTTTGCTAATTGACTTTCTCTGCCCTCTCAGGACAATAGAGGCTGGTTTCTGGACTTCTTTATGACTTCCCCTTTATGAGTCCTTGGTTGATTATGCCTTTAAGGAGCCCTTAATAAAGACTAAGCAAACAGAGCTTTCAGCAGAATACATGGAAAACTTGGATGCTGCTGTGAGGCTTTCTCCCTCCTTATGGCAAAATGCCAATCCTATAGCATGGGACAAAGATATAGAGGATGTTCGCCAACACACACAGGCTAAATGAAAAGCTCATGAAAAGCTTTCACTTGAGCGTTCCACTGAGGCAATGAAAAAGCTATTAGTTTAGCCATATAATAAGTAGAAATAATGGTTTCTGTTCAAGTATTTTTTTTCATCTTATAACAATATCCAATAAATCATACGTGCATATGTAGTGGAAAACAGAATTGAATAAAGACATATTACAGAAGCTTGAATGGAAATCTGTGCCCCTGTATTGGTTTTTAATGAAATTCCATCTGTACTTTTATCAGAGCCTCACGGCGCCTTGCAGTTAGCCTGTGAATGTAGAGATTTGAAAACTTATATTAATAGCTTATTTTAATATTTTAAGGTAAAACTGCTCAAATCATTTTTCACACCGGGTCTTGGCAGTGGTCTAGTGAGAACGAGAGCCCTCAACAACCACACTGGGCCAACAGAGGGTCATGTTAAACAAAAACCTAATTTCCTGCTTGGCGAGAGTGCTGGGATATTAATCAAGATGAAGGGACTGAAACAGGAAGTGAGGTGAGGGTTTGTAATGTAAGTTGGTGAACTTTTTTTTTTGCTATGGAAAGATAATGATGCAGTCAATAAAAAGCTACCTTTCCTTCTGCTTCGCCCCTGACAGACACAACACCTCTGGTGTCCGCTGCATTTCTTACATTCTTGGCCATTCAAGGCCAGTTAAGCTGGAGACCTCTCATGATTCCCACCCACCGCATATGATCAGCTGTGTGGGAGTCAGAGAGGGTCGAACAAATAACAATGGTGGAGGAAAGTGGTGGTGGAGACACTGACTTCCCTACCCAAGCACCCACCAAGCATCGCGTTTGCCAACAAAAGCAATGTGCCCATCTATTTGCAACCATATCTCTGCATGACACCCAGGTTTTCATCACCCACCCATCGGCACAATGCTGGACACTTGCCTCAGCGGGCCGTTTCAATGGACGGAAATTGGGAATACAAAACAAACCAGTAGTGAAAGGACACGCGGCTCCATCAGCATCCATATAAACAATGGAGAATCTCCCAGTGTTTAGCTTCTACTTCCTCCCGAAACACAGCACTAACAATGGGGCGCTATTATGACTGACTGTGTTTGCTGTTTCAGCACCAGTTTTTGAATGAGACCAGGATGAGAACACATCTTCATATTGTTTGGCACTGAGCAGAATAATTTAAAGTAGAAGAGGTATTTCTCTGATAAGATATAAAAAAATCCCTAGAGATCATTTGAGCAGAAAAGGCAATGGGAAAGAGAAGAGAAAATGACATTGTAAAATAAACCCCCGCAAAAATAGAATTACCATTGTGCTTGTTCACTGGACTATTATACTACAAAACCCACTCTTCAACCTATTCTTAAACTTTATTGTCTGCAACAAAAACATGAAATAAAAGCAGCATGACTTGATAAAATCTCAAACAAGGTCGTCAAATGTCATCACAAACTTACTTGTTACAGCTTATTATCTCTCTAACTGTCCACTCGATAAATACTTCCCAACAACATTTCTTACTCTCAGTATATCAGCAATTTATGAGGATGTTTCAACCAAATCAATGAAGATAACATTAACCTGTCGTTGAATGCAGCGCAGAGCCATCTTCTCTGCTCATATTGGTCCCTTATGAGAGATCTAGAAATGTGCAGCCCATAGCACAAGTGTTTGTTTACATCATAAGAAATTATACTCTCTCTCAGACAAGGGGTCTCCGTGGCGTTGATAAGGATCATGGGTATTTATAACACCCAGCAGAGCCTTTTCAGTGAATTGTTTGATAATAATAATTTGGCACACACTAGAGAGGATTTCCGAATCTTAGTGCTTATATTGCCTGTTTTTGCATAATGACAAACAACAGAGACAAAGCCAGCAACACAAAGATTAACCAAGGGCTGTCAAACCCTGGTGCATGAAAATCCCTGCGTATTGAGAGCACAGGACAGTTTAAATGTGGATGGAGATCTTGGTTAGACTATACAAAGAACATCCCCTGAGACTGACATTGTGTGTCCTGTAATTGGCCCGAGTCTGCCTCTCTGGCCACAGTCTATGCTGGGGCCGACGTCTCATCTCAAAGGCAGAGAGAGGGGAGATATCTACAGACCAATCACAACCCAGTTAGTCAAACCTCCATCAGCTGGTCACAGCTTCATTTCTTATACTTCTCTCACTCCTCCTGGGGAGAAAAGCACTGGGCTGGAGCCAATTCAAAACTACAGGGTTACACACACACACACACACCAGAGACAAACAGAGAAAGACCTTGACCTGCTCATTCTCCTCCAAAGCCTCAATGCCAAAGCTTTGGCTCTAAATAAATACAGCCTTCAAAGGGAGAGATAGTTTAACCCTCTGGAACCAACACTTTGTTTCAGCCCTGGTTTGACAGATAATCCCTCACAAATCCAAAATCTCTGTGGGATTCAGAGTTAGCCAAAGTGGCAGACATATACAGACAAACAAAAAAGGGGCTTACAAAAAAAATGCTAAAACTGGTATCAACTCTGGTATCAGTTTGAAATGCTAATTTGGAAGCAAGCAAGCACTGGACAGGGTAAATGATATCCAGGAGCGAGTCATACAAAATAAATGATAATGTAGATACAAGAATGAACAGTGTATTTTCAGGAGCTGTTTCGGATGGAATGGCAGGTGAGACTGAAAAGTCGTTACACGCACACACCTGCACATGAATATGCAAACACACAGAAAACCCAACTGACACACAAAGCTGTAACCAGGATATTCTATTTGTTTGATCCCCCACTCCTTTTGGTGGACATTTTTAAAGACTCAAGTATAAATCCATGCATTTTGAGAGTAGACAGGTATTTACACCTTCTATCTTCAGGTTTTTTCAACTACTAAAAATAAGCTAATCAACAGGCTATAGATCTATTGAATCAAGTGTACAAATTTCTGATTAGCACAATGAACATTACCTTAAGGGGGGCCATAATGCCTTTAAGTATAGCTGAATAGGCACAATAAAAGTCCCAGTATTCAGAATAAGCTTCCAAACCACATGCACATGCCACCCAGATAAATGACTGGTTTTGTCCGTTCAGGTGTCCACCTAAATAATAATAACAATCTAGTGTTAAAGTAGGCTTACTTTAACACTAGATTGTTATTATCATTGAAAATTACACATGCAGTGTCAGGTTTAATATTCAGTTGTAAACAAAACTGGTAGTTCCTGTATGTCGGCTGCAAAAAATACAGAGGACAGGATCTCTGCCTTCTCAGCGACCTGCAGACACACCAATCAAAAGCCTACCAGTGTGTAAACAGCAGTGAAGCTCTCTCAGCTGGTAAGGCATATGATTCAGGCACTTCAGAGGAAAGGTCACTGTCAGTCGTGTGAAAACAAGAGGCCCTCTCAGTCTCAGTCTGGCTCCTCACAGGGCTGCAACAGCCTACTCATCTGGGCTGCTCTTCATTTACTGCCTCTGGCATTGATAGCCCATTGCCTATTCATCACAGCAAAGATCCAGGGCTAAGATGCCCGTGGGTCTGGTTGATCCGCCCATACTGAATGCTGAGGCAAGCCACTGAACAGGTGATGTCAGAGTAGATTAATAATCAGAGTATAAATCTTTTTTCCCCTGCAGGAAATCACAGACCGGGTGAAAGCTCCTCAGGATCTCCTCTTCGCTCTCTGTTTATTGATCTGCAGCAACTTCATTCCCATCATTCACTGTGACAGCAACCACTCACACTTCTGGAAAGTGCAGCAGGGCAGAAAATGTTTAGGCATCACACTGGCATTTTACCTATGGCTCAGCTTCTTGCCCTATTTTGATGTTTAACACGCCAATGAAATATGCCCTTTCCACAAAATGCACCTCTCTCTGACTGACCAAACTCAACCAAATGATGGATGATGTGGAGCAGGTGACAGCTCATTTTGTGCCATATAAACACCTCTGGCACATTGCAAAAACAACCACCCCTGCAAATTATTCAATCTAGTATATGTTTAGTCTGAAAAGCTATATTTTCTCTAGGTTCGTTTGACTATTGTCTTCAAAACCAGCCCCTTTAAACAATTTCTCAAATCAGGCATAATTTCCTAACCATTTATAATGGCAGTAGAATACTTACATACTTAATCTTATTTAAAAACATTTAAATTTAAAAACATTTAAAACACTAAAGTTTTGAGAGGGTGTGTGCATATTCTCAAAGTGGATATCAGTCTAAATGACTTGTTAAGGGATACTTTTGCACAGTGTGAGTATTAAACATGATGCACTGTGTAGCATGTTTTCATCCATTTACTGTTTGACACATGGTTTGACTTTAGGCAGGTGATGTCTTTTGTGCCATGTGACTGGCATGACCGGTGTCTTTCCCGGTTCCCCTTACCTTATTCGAGTAGGGTTGGCTTGCCGAGGTTGATGCCATCTCTGATGAGCTTATCCCTGATCATGATCTTCAGCTTCAGCTTGGGGTAAATCACCAGCTCCCTCCTGTTGCCCAGCGTCAGGTTCCTCTGCGCGCCCACGTACCCACCGTTGCGCCCAACCCGGTCACTGTTGTGCTCGGTCCATGACTTGGATCCCCGCAGTTTGGACTCGTACTGGTCCACCATGTGACTGGTATAAATCTCGGCTGCGGGGGGCATCGGCTCCAGGGTGAAGTACAGTCCACTAGCCGTCTCTTGGGCTTCCTCTTTCAGCCTCCTCACTGCGTCGTGAATCCTCTGCCGGTGGTGAGGGATATAGACGCCAATGGCATCCAGGTCGGGGTCTCCTATTTGCTTGCAAACCTCCAGATCGTCATATCCATTATCCACAAAAGACTCGACATACTGAGCAAGCTGGAGGGTCTTCAGCCACTCGTAGACGATGACAGGTCCGTTGCTCGTCATTGTTGCTGTTGCCAGATCGGCTACAACTCGGAGAGGAGAAGACACTAAAGTGATAATTACTTTCCAATTTGGCGTTTCAAACGCATTATAAAGGTGGTTGATAGTGTACGCTTTCAAGAAAAGTAAAGTTAACTGGATTAAACATTTTTTGGATAATCCATACCAAAGGTTTGGTGACCATCCCCAGCCTTAGGAGTCCGCGGTGTTTAAAGACATAACAACAGAGCCGTAAGTGAATTAAAGGCTCAGTCTGACACAGTCAGTGAGACTGTAACACCTGTCAATATATACAAATGAATATCACTTCAGTTTCACTTGAGGCAGCTTTTAAATCCTAAACGTCATTCCAACATATTGTGTTCTCGCCCACGGTGACTTACCATGCGCAGTCACTTTCAATAATTAGGCTTCCTTAAACAAATAAGGAAGCAGTTACCTCAAACTATTGTCATTCAAATAGCTGCTCGCCCAGATTTCGGCCGTTACGCACAACTGCTGCCTCTTAAATAGAAAACGTTTTCACCGCTTAGGCAACGCGTTGAAGAAATCTATCGAAACAATGCCAAACGGGCTTAAAAATGAGATTAAGTCTGCACCCGACGATTGACTGCCACCGTACGGCTACGCGTCCAACCGCTCCGTCTACGCGTAGTCCAGTTCTTCAAGCCGGCACATCACTACACTGGAACTGCAGCCAAGAGCCAACACGCTCGCTGCTGCTGGTACGTCCACGCCCCCCAAATCTCACTGTACCCATTTAAAAATAGTGATGCGTGTCCTTTTCCCCCCTCTGCCAACTTGTCACGCCGCCTCGGGGCATTCAGTGGGTCACCAGGTTCCCACCGACTTGGCTAAAGTTGGTCCGAGACGAACACGCGTGGTAAACCTGTCGCACAGTTCATGTGACTATCCTGGCTGCTGGTTTGTGTAACATTATTATTCCCCTACGATGTGATTTCGTCCACCGCACCTCTCTCCCTCTCTCCTCTTGTTCGCTCGCTCATACACACACTCACTCACTCATTCAGCATTTCCATGGTTTGGCTTCTCAACACGCATGAGCTCCCTCTATGTGGTAACCGGGGAACTGAAGATTTCTGGAGCTGATGTAATAGGATAAACTGAGGTACTGCTCGCCTATCCACCCATTTAGCCACCATCTATATCATCAGACATTCCATGCAATATTCTGTTTGACTTTTCAACATTGAAGAGCAAGTGGAGCAACTATCAGTATCAAATTGCACCACTCGATGCCATCATCAGTAGTATGAGACCAGTCAAACTGTCTGGGAAAACAGAGAGAAAGAACTAAGGCAATAACACTGCTTGAATAAGACCTGTCTGCTCTGTCCAAATGGATGCCAAGCTGCCCGGTGCTGATGCATGCTTTATCAAACGTGAGCTGACAGCTTGTTAGGGGTCAGTTTGATACAATCACCGTCTCAGCTTTTGGCTGGAAGTGATTTGCCTCGGCCCATTATGACATGCAACAGGGCTCGAGAACAAACACACGGGTTGGGGAGGAGTGGGGAAGCATATCAAACAGGCGCCTTCTGGAGGAGCCGCATCAGAAACACGCCAAAAATGCATGTCAGAATGTCAGAGGAAGCGGTGTGTGTCAGTGTAGATCCTTCATCAGTCCGATCAGACTTGAGTTAGTTGACGTTTCCTGTGATTTACCTGTCTGCTGCTATCATTGTAATTACTCAGAATTGCTCTATTGTCCCTCATGGTTTGTAGAAACTCATATAAAGTGGTTTGACTGACAGGAGCGAACAGGGTTAAAGGTGTGATTTGATACATTAGAGCTTGTATACTGATTGACATTACATTCTCTAATGAATATTCAGCTAAAAATAAACCAAAATATGTGTTTTTATACTGTAGTGCTTTATGTTTGTTGGTACAGCTGTAATACAGTGTGACCTTCATAGCAATACACACAATACCATCATATGGAAACAATAAAAAAAAGTTTTGGACAATACCAGAATATGCCGAGAGGAAAAATCAGCTATAATGTCTCAGATTAGGTAGAATGTCTGCACATTTACCAGGCATAATGTAAAGGCTCAGGACAACCATGGTGATTAGGAGTTTAAAAACAGTGGTATTACCTTTCAACATTCATTCTGAACACAAAGCTATTACAGTATTTTTTCCAGCTCTTGTACATAGGATTAAAACTCACACAGCTCTGCCCTCCCAATTGTTCTGGGTGAAGACATGTCATTCGATCGGTTACAGGAGCAGGGGATTACGAAAGTAAAATGACAGATGGAACAAGAAGACTGCTGCTCTCTATGGTGGGTGGACTCCGAGAGCGTACTGGCAGTGCCAGGATTGTTGTGTTTCCACTCTACTGCCCAGGGCCATGGAGAGCGACCAGCGGGTGCAGAGAGAGGCAAGGGTGGCTACCTAACACTAGTGTCTCGCTTGTTCTATGGAAATACACAGGACTGTTTGTTTGTAAGGCAATCATCTGAATCACCTATCTTTTTAAAAAATATATTAATTGTAGTTACTGTATTGAACTTTGATGACTGTGACTTTTATTTAGTCCAGATAAAATTAAACAACAAATACATTATAGAATAGACAATAGTTTATTGCAGTGTTTCAACTTTTCGCATCAGTGGTTGTTGGACCAGTTGGGACCATTTCAACCAAAGAGTAATTTTCCCGAAGTCCCGAAGACTTACAATTATCCAGTAAGTCGCATCTTCTTTCAGAAGAAGAATATGTTTTTCAGCTTTACTTTCCTATTAATTATCTTGCGACCCCTCAGATTTATCTTGTGACCCCTTGTGGGAGTCATTGGGAACCACCAGTTTAGTGTGTAAAATGTCAGAAAATAGTGAAGAAATTGCCTCTTCAGAGAAGCCAAACTGATACCCCTAACAGTCCAAAAACCCTGAAATATTCCAATTCAGTGATATAAAATAAAAAGTGCAAAAACATACCATATTTGAGAAGCTCAACCAAAAACTGTGTGTGTAAATCAGCAATCGATTATCAGAACTGTTGTCAAATAATTTTATGTAGATCAACCTATTTATTTAATTATTTGACTAATTGCTTTAGTACCAACACACTGGATGATGTAACTTTTATATGGATTTTCAATTCAGTGGGACTACATAAGTTAAGTGCACCATCATAGAGTTAGTGCTGTTTCATTGCTTTGTAGTGACATAAAAAGGTAGTCTATGCTCATTTCAAGCAATAGACTCATTGCTCTTCCCAGTGAGTGCAGCAGTATTACCCTGGAGCTAGCGGGCGGCTGCCACATCAATAACATCTCAATAACCATCCCTTAATAAAATCTGAAATGGGCAGCCTAGAGCATTAGAGCTGGGAAATATGAATATGTGGCAGTGAGAGTGTACATTAGCATTGGCTCTGGTAAATATGTACAGGCTGCTTTGACTGCGTTGATTGAAAGAGTGTGACTGCGGCAGGTTGAGGGAAGAAAAGCTCCAGCAGACACAGCTGGAAGGTGAGAGGAGATAGATACAGCCAGACAGACTAAAGTCGCTCTGCTGACAGCCAGGCTTTCTCTATGCTAATAATTTGTGCTTTGTGTTTTAGCTTCACCATAAAAAAAAGGGAAAGACTTGTATATGAGAAGGTGGGGATTTTTGTTGGGTGAAATTTTAGGGTCTCTTTGGCTTCAAACATCTAGGTTGCACCTTTCAAGACCTCAATTTTAAAATCCTTTGAAGCAGAGAATGGCTTCTGTCCACCTAGCTGCAGAGGCGCCATGAAGGTCATGGATGTCGGATTCTAGGTCAAGGCTTTTGCGGGTGGCTATCTGTCAGCCTCTGATAGTTATGTAGACTCTTCTGCCAGCAACACAGCCAACACAGATCACAGTTCATGCTTTGAATTGAATGTGGTCATGTGGTAGATATGGTTAAGCTATTTCTGACCACCATTCCTGTAAAGATTTATGGTCAGTTTTTCCTGTTGCCAAAGCAGTATTAAATTAAACATTTTGATTTTAAAATGAAATTAGTGTGTATAAAACTGTAAATAGCAACAATAACCTTTTTTTTAATGAAAAGCGGGCAGATGTATTACTGGTTTTGCCTTGTCAAAATCTTTTTTCTCCCTCTCTTTCTGTTACAGATTTATGGCTTGGCTGGAGATGATTATTCAAGAACAGCCAAGACTAGTCGAAACAATGAGCTGAGAGCGGGCTGATTACTGCATATCACATTTGGCTTCATCAAGAACAGAAGGTAGTATTCCAATGTTTCTGGAAAATAAGTTTCTCATGATGGGAAAAATTTAACCTGAAAATTAATTCTCAGTATTGTACATGAAAACACAGGAACAAATTGGGGAGTAGGAGAAAAACAATTATTATGATAATTCGTTCTGTGGTGAACCTGACTAAAATCAGTGCTAAATCCACATTGTTTTTATTGTCTTGGGATGCAATTATGGGCAACAACTGAATGAGTTATTTTTGCAGGCTTAAAAATGAAGGCACTCTCTCTGCCCGGTGGTTCAGGGCATCTAGTGGATTTTTTCAGCCTTCTGGGATCTTCAGTGGAGCGAGAAGGAAAGAGCTTGATCTGTCTTTATGCACTTTTAATTACAAGCGGCTGGCTGGGCTGCAACCTCTAGAGACCAGAGGTAAAGCAAACACTTCGGGACCAGCTGCCATGCCGCTGACAGCTCAATATCAACCTAAATATCCCCAGTCCCGCAGGGAGATGGACGGTGGCAACCTGGGATTAATGCAAGGGTCGCATGTCTAAGCATATCAGCTGAAGACACCTGCCAATCACCAGGCAGAATCAGCCAGTAAAGGCAACAGGTCAGTTGTCTATGTTAGCATTCCCACAGGAGTCATAAAAGTGATGCCATCAATCAAACTACTACTCTGAGTTGCAGTTGGAGCTAACTTCTCAACAACTCCTGGGGTCTAGTTCAATAAGAGCTGCTGGTGGTGATGGACGGATCTCCGATCAGACAGTAGTGGTGATTACTTTCTGTGGAACACAGGCTGATGGAGTGCAGACTTATTTTAAACTCCCCACTCCCGCAACTTGGACCACACTGCATTTTCAGCTCCAGAACAGGACTGGAAGGAGCCCTGCAGCTTTTATATTTGAAACTGAAAAAAAATCTGCAAAACAGTGAAACAGATCTTTGTCTTTCCTTATTGACTCTGCACAAAACAGAAAGTCTTTGGCATCCTGTTTTATCCCTTCAGCCTGATTATAAACTGGCAGTATACATTAATAGCTAAAAGCCTTTCCCAAGGAACAAAACAGGAGGAATATAAAAGAGATGACGTTTGTGCAGTGCAAGTGCAGAGACCCACTACAATAAAGACATTGCTAATTAAAACTGCTCGTGGTACAAACCAGCAGTTAAAATGAATTGGACGTATTGTGCCGAGAATTAAAAACTCACATGGCAGGCTAATGAGCTGAAAACATTTTGGCAAACACAGAGAAACTGCTTTCATAACAGTTAATACATTAATTTTATTAAAATGGGTCAGACTGTCTTCAAACACTATTTGCGTGCGCTGAGCTTCTTTGTGTCGAACCATGTTACAAACAGAAGTCCCAGCAAAAAATAAAAATGCCAAAATCCCACAAACCAAGTAACCTAAGAAACCAAGCTGCTGCTTTGTAGTCTTAAGCTGTTATCATGGAAACCCAGGCTTTACCAAAGAGTATTATCAGGCAATATGACTCATGTTATTGCCTTTGGCAGTACTTTAATAAGACCCAGCTAACCTGTGACCTGAGTTTGCCGCAGCAGAGGTAGTCGTAGGAGAGATTTGGTGGCTCAAAGGGCATCGACATGCCCACAGGAACCGCCATTTAATTCCCAGTCAGCTGCACTGATATACCATCACAATGAACCAGAGTCCATGTCATTAGT